TCAGAATCACTTTTAAAATTTCGCTTTTTGCGGTAGTATTCGTGATATCTTGTTTTTTAACATAGGAACTGTGATATTTATTTTTATATTTAAAAGAGAATGCTACAGCAATAAGTTGTTTTAATATGAAAAATAAGTTTAATATTAGCATATTGTGGGCCCCACGAAATTTTAAGTCATTCTGAATATTTTTACAAAGGAAAAATGCATATCTACAGCCTCGTTTTTATTTTTGCCGTGAGTATAAACGTCAAAGATGACATAGGTTGAAGTAATATTATTGAAACAAAGCACTGCTCTTCGCCACCTCTGTTCTAAGGCTAATTTGAAATCTTTACCTTCTCTTTTTCACCGCGATTCTTTATTTATTTTTCGCCAAAGGAAATCATTTTTCGCCATATCTGACACAAATTTATAATAATTCAACACTATTTTCAAGTAGAATTGTGCGATTAAAAAAACATGCGGTCTGTGCATGTTCGAGTCTCGTAATGGCTGATCAGTTCAAACGTAGTGTTGAATTATTATAATTAAGTGTTACATGTATTATAAGACTATGTTTTATTGAGGTTATGGTTAGCGTGTGCGCGTTGTATCATAAGGTCTGTCCTTGAATCAACGGGCGTGGTTTCGCTTACCCGGTAGGGTCGCCTATCCAATCTCGTGAGTTTTCTCCGGCTCCTCCAGTTTCCCCCCAGTGCTAAAGACCCCTACGCGCCAGCGAATTACTGAATTAAAATTAAACCATGTGTTAGTCCCGAAATTACCTAGTTTCTCTCTCTCTCTCTCTCTCTCTCTCTCTCTCTCTGTACATATTGAACCGAACAGAACTATTGGGAGATTGTTATTCTCTTTAAGATATCAACTCCCCCCCCCCCCAAAAAAAAAAAAATAAACCCGAATAACCCCATGTCTCTCTCTGTGTATTGAGGTTAATGAAACGAGAAACGGGCATCTGTTAGTTATAAATATTGACCTCACGTTAAGCGGTTATAGCAACATGCAACTATGACGAAAATGGTTCTAAAAGCACACAATGTAATATGAATGTATATAAATATAAATAGTACAGCAACCAATACCATGTGTTATTATAGTACAGTAACCAACACATGACTTAATGGTAATATTGACCACCCATTCACAAGTTGTTGTTATCCTGGTGACTCGTCACCAATTAATTAAATAAAAAACATGGAATAAAACAACAACATTTGTTTAAGTTTAAAGGAGCTAAACCTCTAACATAATATTGGAAATTAAAAACACGAATTAGAATTATATATGTCAATCAATATTGATGTTGTTATCTTATTGTGAAAATAGGTGACCCTAATATCCAATGAACAGAATGAACCATTCGGAAATCCCTCACGACTCGTGTAGTTCATGATAGTAATAAAAATGGCTGATTCACAAACGACCAAAAATAACGTGTAGTATGGGCCTAGCAGGCGCATATGGCTGCCGTTTAATTGGGACTGTTCGCGTATTTCACCAAATATAATTGGTTAGAAATTCCAACAAAAAAATTCAAAATTGGATATAACTCGCTTTATCACCCAATAATACATTCTACAGTAGATATCGCTTGTGTGATAAATTTCATAATCTACTGCGATATCTCCTTAGCAGATATCGCTTTACATGAATTTGATTGATCAATCAAAAAGGAACTACATTTTTTATTTTCTTATTAAAAATGAAATATTTTTATTTAATTGACCTTGATGGAAACACTGGGTCAATATATATTGAGGAATTTGCAATGGTTGAATTGCTCTCAAAAAATGATGTATCACTACGCCGTAATGTAACCAGGTTCAGTAAAATTTAAATCTATAGCAAATAATTATATTTATTTATTTGTGCATGTAAGAAAGGATTGAGTGATAAATAAAATCTCATACTCGTCTTTTTTTTATATCAAAAAAATCAACCCTCGTCGATAAAGTAGAGCCGAGTTTTATTTACTTTATCGACGAGTGTTGATATTTTTTTGATATAAAAAAAAGACGAGTAGGAGATTCTCTATTTATATACATTCATATTACATTGTGTGCTTTTAGAACCATTTTCATCAATTTTAAGGTTCCGAAGAATATAGCTATACCCCCTTTAATTACATCACCAATAAGTACTAATATCAGATACAATATAAGTACTTGATAGTACACTAATATTTAATACAAACACTCTCCATTGATTATACCACCCCTTGTTATTTACATCATAAAAAATGTCTATATAAAATCCAGTTCTTGTCCCCATCTCTGCTTTGACGTTTTCAAGTTCGATCTAGATATGTCACAATTATACATTTTAAAAAGAGAATAGATGATTACAAGAAAATAAAAAAATATTATTGCTTTTTAATCAAACGTATGTGTAGTCAAACCCCCCAATCAATGAACAGTTTTTATCAATAGGTTCCCGATCCCATATCTTAACAACAAGTACATTAAACCTGAAATTAAAGGGGCATTGTCACGTTAACAAGAAAATAAAACCCCATTTCCGGTCAATTTGTAGGAAAATATTTTACACTTGTGCCTAATTAAACATCCATTATGCATGAAATAGATCTGCCTCTTGCAGATCTTTCTTTAGGCCTGAAATGTTATATCAACTATTAATTAGACATTTATTAACAACACGAGACCATAATCAACTCTCAATGGCATCGGATACTCGAGATTAGAACAGTTCTCCATATAAAAATTTAATTTAAAAATGAGAAAGCGAGGCTAAGTCTCGAACATACCAGTGCCCTGGTTACCACTATGCACACATCTTGTAAGAACTACAAACAGAGATAACTTGGCTCAGAATGAAGTATTTTGAATTAAATTTCCAATATTTTCATTTTACATTATCTATTTTTGTTAAAGTGAACCACCCCTTAGTTGATTTAGCAAACCCCCACGCTCTCAATCACCACTTCCGCTCATTGCGATAAAACATAATTTTGGCGATAAAATCTTTATATAATCTGGCGAAATTTTTGACGATAACTTTTACCTGTAGCCATTCATTTTTTTAACAGTGGCCAAAGTGAACCTCCCCTTAGTTGATTTAGCAAACTCTCACGCTCTCAATCGCCACTTCTGCTCATTGCAATAAAACATAATTTTGGCGATAAAATATTCATGTAATTTGGCCATTCTTTTTTTAACCGTAACAATAAGTTTTGTTCGCGGAGTTCATTGTTGTGCATTTTCCCCCGCGAGACGAATAAAAAATCACATGAAATTGAAAATTTTCTCTTAAAAAGGACAAATAATTTTTTAACTCTCTAGAACAACGAATGGTCGTGATTTTTAATGGATTTAAACACGTTCTTCATTTAATAATTGTATATAGAAATGGATAATCGAGACTCTAAGGTTTATCGTAGCAATGAAAACCGAGACTTATCAAAGCATTCATAACTTTGCCCAGAATAAATTAATGTGACTGAAATTTGAAATGTTATTCCCTTTTCATGAAGTGTTTTGAAATTAGTATGTTATCAAGAACTGCCAGTTCTTTATCTAAACATTACATCTTGAACGAACGGTCATACAAATCAACATTTTCTGTGCTTCGAATTTTCTTTATTAATTACGTTAATTTTCTCAGTGGAATTGACACGCCCCTTTAATTTTCATCATTTGAACTTGGTGTGCTATGGTGTTATGTAAATATTTATCTATAACAAAATGTCTGCTTTATAAAGACTTGTGAGTATTTCCACCTCAGATGAATGGTTTGAGACGGTGTTTTTATACCAGGTAAGTAATTTTTATTCAGGTGAAGTCAATCGTTGGCTCGTTAGCCTGTAGGTGATGTGTTCGAACAAGTTCATCGGTATTCCCCCTTCTCAGCGGTGGTAAGGGACAATGTATAGTCGATCGGGTGTTACGAACAACGAGGTCCTGTGTACATATTGGCGTACATGTAAAAGAACCCTTGACAGTTGGAATTCGATATAAGAGTAGACCGCAGCACTGTTGTCCTGGCAAAATTTCTCTCATAGCACACTGTATGGGGTATGCCCTTCTTCATTAGCACTGGTGAAGCAGAATAGTAGGACGTTAAACACCATTTCATTTACAAATGTGGCACCCTGCCTCCAGAATAGCAGTGGATTCACAAATGACTGATATTGAAATTTGAATTTTTATGTATTATTATTTTATCATTATTACACCCGTGACCCAGGAGGTTGTGTACTGTGTTTGTAAAATAACCTATTAGGATTTGGTATTGCTAGAAACGCCGCTGCCCAGCTCAAATGTCCCCCATAGAAGACTTCATGACGTATCCTTGTCTCCATTAGCCCGGTTGGTGCAGAAACGTAGGACATTAAACCACATTTTATTTCCAGGGGTTGAGTGGCCGACTGGTTAACGCGTGCGCGTGCATTGGATTAGAAGGTCTGTCATTGAACGGAGTAGGTAGGGCTGCCTGTCCAACCTCGTGGATTTCCTCCGGTTTCCTCCCACTGCTAAAGAGCAATACGCGCAAGCAAATTATTGAAATAAAATTAAACCATATGTTAGTCCCGAAATGACCTAGTTTGTGTTGAGTGGACGTTAAAACCCATTTCTTTCTCTCTGAATTATATACAACATTTATTTATGTTTGTGTTTAGATGGCAACCTTTTATTTCAAGTCGATGATCGGCATTTTTATGACAATATGTAAGTTTTGCACCTCGTAATTGCGAATTAAACCTTTGATTTATGAATTCATAATCAAAATATAATCGGTCGATTCAGTGGGATTAACAAGAGACCAGTAAAAAGATATCAACCAAAATTATGGGTGGTACAGACTGGTTTTTTTAAGACTATGAATATATATCGTCTGCAGAGGGTGGAATATCTGGACAAATTTTCAATTCTCCCCATCTTCCTAAATATTAAACCGAAACAAACTATTGAGAGCTTTTTATACTTTCACAATAGTGTAGTTAGCAAAAAACGATCAAAATACAGTGTTTGCTTTGTTCGTAGAATATCATCGATGCTGTAATTTTCTACAGTTATTGATGTTAAAATAAGGATGAAGTTGGTCAGATGTCTGGTGGTTCTGTCATTCCTACATCTTTATGGTAAGTATGCCTTTCAATCTTACACCCTTTAGGTAGGTATATATTTGTTCATCTTTGTGTAAGCAGTTCACCAGTTATATATATTAAACAAAAACAAGAAAAAAACCCAAAACAAAACAGTATTGATGTGTGTAAAATGTCTGCGTCGTCTATCACCAGATTTTAGTTACGCTAGTTTAGGTGTTGTTTGAGGAGCTACGTTGAGGTGTTCCAACTCTGATTTCCCCTGTCCATGGGGCAGGACTGAGGACGTGGCAATGGAAACTGTTTGAATGGGATGGATACCGAGGTCCCATGTACACGTTGGTTTACATATAAAAGCATCTTTAACAGTTGGAAACCCGACTCTTTGGTGGTCGTCAACTAACATCGTAAAGAAGGCTAACCCGGACTCTAACTCTGTGGATTCAACTTCAGTTGCCTTAGCCTATGTGACCTTAACCCCAATGGCCTTAACCCCAGTTACATTCAATGTGCACTCGGGTTCCTGAAGAAGCGAATGCGCGTTTTACAACATCTGGACGTTGCTAGATTACTTCACAATTCCCGAACTTATAGGTACGTTATCTGAAGACACGTGAACAGTAGCGTCCAATCAGAGGTTGTGACATAGCGACCTCCGCGGAGATCTTGACATTGAACGAACCTTGAACTTTGCAACTCGATTATCACAGGTAGACATTTTAGCCGGAAAGGGCAAGACTTGGTATTCGCAATTTTAGAGGAACCTAATAGGCTCCCAAGCAGAGTGAACACCCAATCGAAATTAGTACCGAAATATGCAATGTATTACGTGAAGGCCTTGATAAGATGTATAGCGTTAAAGCTAGATCAAGCTTTCTATTGATGTACACTTAGATGTTTTTTTGTTTCCAGCATGTGACTTTCTGAAAGTAAACAAGGTATTGTCATCAGAAGTTGGCAGGATAAAATGTGAAATTCTAGGAATGGAATTAGCCATGATGTCAACCAGACATGAATATGAAGCTGTTAAATCTCTGTATGATGTTCACAATCCGTAAGTTACATTGTACTATAAACCACAAGGACAACTGAGGCATTCAGTGGGTACAAGTCGTTCGGAAGGGACGTAAAAAGCGAGGCTCCGTGTACACATTGACAGTTGGAATTCGATAAAAGAGTAGGCCTTAGTGCCGCTTTCCGGAAAACAATATACCTCATAGAACATTGTATAGCGTATGCCCGTCTTCAATAGCGCAGTTAGAGCCGCAAAGTAGGACGTTAAACCCCATTTTATGTAATTTGTCGCCGCTAATTATCATGTACATATTCTTCCCGGCTCCATCACATCACGGTTTTGGCCGAGACAGATCTTCGGGATTTTCCGGCATGGTTCTGACCACAGTGATCCGCAGTGAATATTCGCTTGGCCGCTACAATCACTGATAAGGATGACAACGATGCGACTTAATGACTACAAAATATTAACTTTTTTCTTTCGACAAATTAAATTCTGAAACATTTTTTTTTTAGTATTAGAAAAGGTGTTTGAAGTATATCTTGATAAAAAATATTCCATATTTAGCGTAAAATGGGTACAGAAAATAGTACGCGGAGGCGTAAAATGGGTAAAACGATATAATTTTGCCCGTACCAGTTCATATTACTACGTTCGATGTAAACAATGCACGTGTGACCATCAATTTGACGTTTTTTTCTCTTTGTTTACTCTGAATTCTTTCAGAAGTACATTTTTTACCGTCTAATCTGATTGACCTGCTCGTGTTTGTTTTAAAACAACAAAAACAAGCCACAGAAGTAATCGTTTTTGGTGTTATCGATGCCACCCTGCTTTGTTGGTAAACATCGTGATGTGACGTCACCCTTAGAACTACAGCAGTCTGACCTTTTAAAGGTCAGTCATCTTGGACAGAGATAAAAGACGGATGTCGCATTAGGTCTGTAAAACAGATTGGGTTCTGACTTGTAGATTGAACAAGAGTGCGTCGTAGCACCGTTGGCAGCGCAAGTTGTTCCTTATAGAACGTGGTATGGAAAAATACAAATGGCGCATCGAACCGTTAATTGGTGTAATAATGAATCGCTTCCTGTATGTGTGGTTAAATGGTCTAGAGAGCGAGAAGTTAAGAAATATATTGAAGCAACACAATTTCACATTTTATCATTACTTGATAATAACTAGAGAAGCCTAGTGGAAACGTCGCTCAGTAATAAGCAGTAATTTTATTCCATAGAATGGTGACCTGTATATACGAGGGACTTTAGTCCCGAGTTGTTGTTTCAATATATACTCTTAAAAAAAAGTAGGGGATATTGAAATGCAAATACCCACGCAGGTTGTGATATGATAGATAGTCATGGACACTTGACATGCTTTGAGAGTATGTTCACAGATGAATAACTTATCGCCCCAACAGAACCACTGAGCCGCATGTGCGACACGCAATGGCGCTATACACGTGGGAGGGGTTCATTGTCAAATTTGACACTTCAAGGAAGGGTTGATGAGAACTGCCGCTTCCTGGTTTATCCTATCCATGTTTGCTTTTCTATCGGTTCTTGCATAAGATTTACTGTTTAGCGTATCTTTGCTTCAGTGTCTTACGTTTAATTTGATCGGGAGACGTGTTCGTCAACGTCAACCGACAACACTGCAAGAATTGGCCGTGGCACTGCAAGAGGAGTGGGCCAGATTGCCCTAAATCGTGATTGGGCGGTTGACTAGGAGTATGCCACGACGAATTGCTGAATGTCTGAGAATTGGTGGAGCAATTACTCATTATTAAGACAAAAATCAAAAAGGTCCATTTTCACTTTTGACAGTGTATCTCTTTGCGAGTGAAATGGGGCCGTCAGAAAAGCCGCCCATATGAACTCTTTATGTTCATGTGTAGGCAATTGGCCTGTTATTAATATACACTGGTTATCTCTAATAAAAACAGCAGTGCATTTCCGCATTTTTTTTATTGTTTCCGAATATCCCTTACTTTTTTTACGCAATACTCTAAGCTCGAGACCATTAAACAACTAAAATACAGACACTTGCACATGCTTTGGAATGAAATACGTCACTAGTATAAATACCATACGCTTGGCACATTGTCCGTACTATTATTTGAAATAATGGTACGCCAACTTCAAAGGATGACGTCACATCTGTATTTAATTCTGTTTATTATACAGAGATAAAGTATTGATAGGTCTACGATGGAACTCAACTGTACAGAGTTATCAGTGGTATAATGGTAATGTACTGGGTAATGTCAACTGGGCGTCTGGTGAACCACGACTTCAATCGTGTGTAGCAGTACAGCCAGATGGTAATTGGTATACACGACCATGTTCGACCAAAATGGCGTATGTGTGTAGGACAGATTCAGGTATAGTTCGCTACAATATTTACACTTATTCAAGGATGATTAATATTTAGGTAAAATAGATAAAGGGTGGTACCCCCGTCCCCACCCCTACCTCCTCCTCTTCAAAATCAAACACTGTGGCGTCAAGGGACCACGGGTAACAGCAATGTTTGGTTTAACTAATGTATCATTTATACCCCTTTACCATAGAATCACATCATTTACAGATTTGCAAGGTCCCACCCCACTGAATTAAACACGTAGATCAACCAGCATGCAGACAGATAGGCCAGGAAAAAATATGAAAATTCCGAGAAAAACTCATCAAAAATAATTATTAAATTCCTGTCTTTATCATGGTTAAAATTACATCAAATGTACACCTTCGTGTTCTAGGATACGTATAGATTCATAAAACACTATGGCACAACATTATACATCCTGCTACAGCTTCTTTTACTGCCCTCGATCTCTCCGTTGCTGTCCGGTCCTGTTTCAGGATTTTACATCGAGAGTAAATGAAGATCTGTGGGGTAGTGACCATTTTCCTATCTTGATTGATATTCATCATGTAAACACATCTGAAAGACATTAGATTAAATCCTTACATCAATTATTGGCCAACCGGGTTTATATTGTAAAATACTAGACTTTTTAAAAGAGACATGTTTTTTTATCATTACTTTTAATTGTATATTTATCATTTCAATTTTGTATTTTTTTTAAAAATATTTATATGCATAAAAAAATTATTTTATTTTTTAAATTTTATTTACTGTGATGTTGTTTTATACCTTTCTATGATATATAATTTAGCCTGTCTCGAAATAATCACCAATATAGCTGACGTGCCATAAAACAACATTTCATTTGGTGTCCTAGCCATGCCCTCCGTTCTACACCAGAGAAAGGGGGAAAGGGGCACGCCGTAAATTCCACGGTTACTTTCTCAGTCAGATAACATCAGTATGTCATATACATATAATTTCAGGTATTATTAGTGGTAACATGTACCATATATACATTGTATTATCAATGGTAACATCACGTAACATGTGTATTGTACTGTAACTCACTTCTGATCAATCTTCCGGCAAAATCTCTTCGACAATTAAACCTTTTTTTTAAACGAAACTTTCGTGATTCCCCGGTGTGATCTTTAAACCTTATTTCAACGTGATCTTTCTTTTTCCCGGCCATTATGAACACTGTAACAGCGCACCTGAGCAGCTAATCTAGCTGTATGTTGGCGCCCTATAAATGTCCATTATTATTATTATTATTATTACATTGTATTGTCAATAGCAGCATCACATAACATGTGTATACCATATATAAATTATATTCCAGGTATTATCCATGGTAACCAGAATGTAGATTTCTATACAGCTCATCAACGTTGTACTGGTATTGATGGTATATTACCTGTTATAATCTCTGGACAAGATGACAAGTATTATAATGATCTTTCAATGTAAGTCGACCATCCTACTGTTCTATTCCGCCAGGGCTAATCAAAACGGGCATACGCTATGCAGAGCGCTATGGGAGATATTTTATCCAGATAGCGGCGCTTCGGCCTATTCTTATATCGAATTTCAACTGTCAAGGATTCTTTAACGTGAACGCCAACATATACACTAAACCTCGTTTGTCGTCCCTCCTGAACGACTAGGCCCCTCCGCCCTTCACCGGTGACAGGGGAAACCACATTTCACAAAAGCGGGAACTTTCTCTGCAAAAACCGGGTTCGAGAGAGAGAGAGAGAGAGAGAGAGTATTGGGTTTAACGTCCAATCGACACAAACTAGGTAATTTCGTGACTAACATATGGTTCAATTTTATTTCCATAATTCGTTTGACCGTAGGGTCTTTAGCAGTGGGAGGAAACTGGAGGACACGGAGAAAACCCACGAGGTTGGACAGGCGACCCTACTCCTTGTCACGGGGAATCGAAAGCACGTCATTTTGACTCAATGACAGACGTTATGATACAGCACTCGTGCTAACCATTCGGCCATCACCCCTCCTTCCTCCAAGTAAATGAAATGAAATGGGGTTTAACGCCCTACCGTTCTGCTCCGAACTGGGCTAATGAAGACGGGCATACGCTATACATTGTGCTATGGGGGGAATTTTGCCCGGACAGCGGCACTATGGCCTATTGTTATATCGAATTCCAACTGTCAAGGGATCTTTTACGTGCCCTCCGTCCTGCATCGCTGACAAGGGGGGACCGCGCCGGAAAATCTGGATGAACTTTCTCGGCCAATTCAGGCTAGCGAGCCAGCGTCTTACCCACTTAGCCACGTGATCCCCACCTGAAGTGGTATCCGGAATTCTAGAAGTAAGCCTTATACAAGACCCATGACCATGAAACCTACTCGGAACTTGATGACGTTAAATCAACTATAAGTTAGGGTGGTATAAAATTTTAATCATATATAGGTGTATACTTTAGGTCTAATGACGTCAGGCTAGGGCTGTATAATTATTTATTTTTAGGTCTAGTGAAGTATGGACAGGGTTGTATAAAAATGGCGAAGTATTTGATTATAATCCAAATAGTGTGCATATGCTAAACACAAAGTTCTCGATGAATAATCCCAGAGCAAATGTAAATATATTTCATTATATATTTTTTAGGTCTAATGAAGTATGGATAGGGTTGTATAAAAATGGCAAGACATTTAAATGGTTGACTGGTGAAGAATTATCTCCATCTTTTACATGGATGGATAAAAACAAACATCTGGGTGAGGCTCATATCGAGGGGCCATTTAACAAGATCCACGTGGAAGTAAAAGATCACTCTGTACTTTGTCAATCGAGGAGCATGCCAGGTAATCATTTGGGTCTTATCAACTGGGCTCTATACAGGTAATCATTATATCAAATGGCCTTTATATCAAGGTAATCATTGATGTCTCATTAACTGGCCTCTATATCCAGGTAATCAATATATCAACTGGCCTTTATATCAAGGTAATCATTGATGTCTCATTAACTGGCCTCTATATCCAGGTAATCATAAAATCAACTGGCCTTTATATCAAGGTAATCAGGTATTAATAATTTATATAACATTTAAGGCATAAAAGGTAAATTTGCAATAGGCAGATTTAGCATCTATACAATCTGTATTAAAATACAGATCTTTATTTCGTTTCGTTTTTTATACTTTCGATATCCTACACTACATGAAGATCTGACCGGTTGTAGTGGATTTGATTAACCAATCAGCATTGATGTTACTAGTGGACTACCCACAGTTCCGTGTAAAACACGCCTAAAGCTCGCCGTAACAGACCGTTTCATTGGCTAATCCCCCACACCATTCAGAGCACGTCAATGATAACAACTCTTCCAGAGGCGTTGTGCGACCGACCAATGGGGACCACGGTGATGATACACGCCAGACCTTTTTCCGTAGCCCTGTGCGCCCCCCCCCCCCCCAAAAAAAAAACCAAAACATTTTTAACAACCATATAAAGATTTTAAAGCATGTATAAATTATTTCATTTATGACCGCTGGCAACGGTCTTGGGATCTTGCAGGCACAAATAAACTTCATTACATTAAGCCTCTCCTAGGAGATTGGCCCAACTCCTATAGAACCAACAGGAGGGATGAAGTTGTTTTGTGTCGCTCTCGCATTGGTCATACCTTTTTAACTCATATTTTCATTTTGAAGCGAGAGCCTCAACCGGAATGTGTTCACTGTCATGTTCCTTTGACAGTAAAACACATCTTGATTGAGTGCAAACATCTCAAGTATATTAGATCTAAATACTACCATTGCCAGTCACTACGTCAGCTATTTGCTCAACCGGAGCTATATGATAAAGTGTTAACATTTTTAAAAGAGACAAACTTTTATTTTCAATTTTAATTGTATATATTTGATCATGTATATTGTTTTAAATATATATATATGTAAAAGATTTGTTATATTTATTTTTAATTAATATATTTTCTGTGATATTTGTTTTTATTTACATATATAAATTCAATTATGTGATATTGTTTTAATTTGTCTTGATAGATTCACCATATGATTGGCGCAATATAGCCCGGCTGGAGCTGACGTGCCATTAAACAACATTTCATTTCATTTCATATTTTCATCTTAAAGCGAGAGCCTCAACCAGAATGTGAACATTGTCATGTTCCCTTGACAGTGAAGCACATTTTGATTGAGTGTAATCATCTCAAGAATACAAGATCACGATATTATCGTTGCCAGTCACTACATCACTTATTTGCCCACCCCGGGCTATATTGCGAAATGCTAAACTTTTTAAAAGAGACAGGTTTTTATTATAAATTTTAATTTGTTTATAATATATATATATATGTAATATTTATTGTTTATATGCATAAAAGATTGTTTTTATTTTTAAATTTGATAAAACTGTGATATTGTTTTTATTTATGCATATAAAATTTTTGTGATATGATTTAGCTTGTCTCAAAGAATCATTATTATGTTTGGCGCAATATAGCCCGGTTGGAGCTGACGTGCCATAAAACCACATTTCATTTCATTTCATTTCGTTGGCTGGTTTTCAGGACGCGACGGACTTGGATTTGTTGGAAGCATTTTAATTTTAAAAAATGTAATAAAGCAAAGTAGATAAATAATCAGGGAGATCTTAAAATTAGGGATTGATTGCTTTATGTTGTTTAAGCTCTGTTGGTTCAGAGAGAGAAAGAGAGAGAGAGAGAGGGGGGGGGGGGAGAGACTACGATATAGTTCAATTTTTTTATTGTTATATTCCGCTTGCGTGTGGGGTGGGGTGGGGGTCTTTAACGGTATGAGGAAACCGGGGGACCCGGAGAAAAAACACGAGGTTGTACAGGCAACCCTACCCTATCAGTCAATGATAGATCCCTCCCCTCCAAACGTGTATGCCTAGTCGTTATTATGCATGTCAAGATCCCTTGACCGTTGCAATTCGAATAAATATAGGCGATGACGCCGTAGTCGAGGCAAAACTCACCTCTCTAGAAATTAACAAGCGATAATAGAAACTAAAATTTAACTATGTGTCACTCTCAATCCGACTAAAGTGTTGACGAGGCTTAATCGCTTCTCCTGGCATTTCTATTTTCGACTGTCAATTATCTCCCCTGAATAGATGTATGCAGGGATAATGTCGGTGACTACTGATATACCTGGTATAGATGGCTTACAGACAATATATATTTTTATTCCAACAATTTTGATTAATAGATTAGGGAGGGATGAATTTAAGTAAAATCTCCTGTCATTATGATATTAATCTGATAGAAATACTCTTCCAAAATATTTTTATAGTGCTGGTTACCTTTCTAATTCTTCATGACTTGGTATCCATCAGTCTGATTCTGTGAAGCATCATAATCAGCGCTTATATATAAATGATTCTCCATTATTTCCATCTCTGGTTTCGTCTTCACTCCGTTTCCATCAGTCTGATTCTGTGAAGCATCATAATCAGCGCTTATATATAGATGATTCTCCATTATTTCCATCTCTGGTTTCGGGGAAGCATCTTTAGTAAATTAAACAAAATGACCTTGATTACAATAAAATGTAAATAAATGATCAAGGGGACATCACAAATTGTTACTTGTGTAATGTGCATTGTAATGGTTCAATCTGAATAAACATTCTTCCTTTGATTGATGTTTAAACATACATTCTGTAAGATTTAGATAAATAACTAACCATTCTTGCTATAATAGTTAAAAAATAAATAATGTAAAATGAAAATATTGAAAATTTCATTCAGATTACTTCATACATTATGCACGAGCTAAATCTGTCTATTGCAGGTCTTTCTTTAGGCCTGAAATGTTATCTAAATTATTAATTAGACATTAATTAACCTATCCATACCATAATCAACTCTAGATGGTATCGCTAGCCTGCGATCTTTAGTGGATTATGAGCCGATTTACTGCATAACTTTCCTTCACGATTTAACGATTAAATGGATAATCGAGACTATGATGTTTATCGTACTGACTTTAGTAATGATGATCAAGGTTAGCCGAAAATTTCAACCGCTTAGTTCTCGGTTCATAGTGGATCAATTTGAATGGTATTTTCAGTAAATTGCCTTTACATTATCTAGTTTGTAACTATTATAGTGAGAACTGTCAACTCGGTATCAAATCTCCTATAATGTATCTTTACTTGTAATTTCAAAATCAACTAAAAAATGTATAATCCAATTTAATCCATGTTTCATTAATCTGGGCGGATTAATCAATAAATGTTGATAAACTATAAAAAATGTTAATGTGAAACGAGCATACGTCGTATCTTCTTTCAAATTCATTATTTTACAAACCACTTTGATATGAAAATACTATTCAGACATGCCGTCAATGTCTGTTATGGTAGCTTTGTAGTTTATATCAAATTACATAATAATCAAATAAAATTTCTAGAAATTACCTTTACTCGATGATTTTATAGGGTTTTTGTTCGAAGGGTCATCATCGGCACTAACATATAAATGATTCTTCAGTATTTCCATTTCTTGAACTGTAGTATCTTTAGGCACACCTAGAAAATATTGTAAATTTGGGTTGATTATTTTGTAAGACATCAACTAATAATTAACTGGGTACTATACATTTAGCTTACTGGTAGCTCCATCCAGTGGTGAATTCGTCCATCAGATTTTCTTCAGATAAAATTTGTATAAAACTGATAAAATTTTAATGTGTTTATTATGTCTAGAGAACGAGTGAGCACAGCTAGGTCAGGTATTCAGGTCAGCAAGCCAACTCGCACCCCCTGGAAGGTAGTCTTAGGTCGCCAAACCGCTTTTGATAGTCAGCCCACCTGTACTGAGATGAAAAGCGAATGTCGATATGGTAGTTACAAGACTATTTGAGTCAGGCTAATGTTTCAGTTTTATCATACTGGGTTTAAAATGTAACACAGAGGTGCCTCTGTATATGCTTTTTTGATATTAAAGTGGGGGTGGGGGGTGGGGGTACTGACTATAAATGAAACTATTTAGCTTTACCCCTAGCTTTAAGAATCTTGTCAATCTCTGCTGTCGGTGTATCACCACTAATGTATAAATCATTCTCCATAATCTCCATTTCTACAAAAAAATATTTAAACAGAATACTAATTCATCGAATTCTAACTGGACGAATGACTAGACGAAGTTCCTTGTTAATAGTTCATGCCACTTCCTCCCACCCAGGCACCCCGTCTTAAACTGATGACAAGGAGTGCCGCCCTGGAATATCCTCAGGCACTTTGTCGACCACCACTGAGATCAAAGTCCGGAACTTCTGCTTTGTGAGCCAAGGCCTTACACATTGAGCTACAGTAGCTCCAGATAAAAAATACTGGGACTCTTAAATAACCCTAAAATATTAATTATAAATAACATATTCCAATCAAACATACTCTAATCATCAATCAAATCTACTATGGTGATCAATCAACCAAAACGACTATGGTGATCAATCAATCAATCAATCAAGCAGTTTCTGGTGATCGTTGACATGGATGGTTCGAAAACAAGACTTGAATGCTCGACCAATTGCAAAGTCCGAGCCGCACGCCATTCTGGCTCAACCCGATTGTTCGAAATAATATCCAAATGTTGAGAACCATGTGTGTGTGAAATAGCTTTATTTATCGTCCGCTTCCACCGAGGTTATATCGCGAACTATATATCACCATTTGATTTTATACCAGATATATCTTTCGTTTAATTAATTAATTCCAATGGTCTGTTTTCTATCAATCTGATTGAAATACAGATCTATATTTCATTTCGTTATTTTATACTTTCGATGACCTACACTACACGAAGATCTGACCGGTTGTACTGATAGGTCGCGTCAGAGGTCATACGAGCGGCATTTGACCTATGACGTCAGACGTTTGATTAACCAATCAGCATTGATGTGACTAGTAGATTACCAAAAGGTGCGTGCAAATCACGCCTAAAGATCGCCGTAACAGACCGTTTCATTGGCTAATCCCTCACACCATTCAGAACACGTCAATGATAACAACTCTTCCAGATCCTAGTGTAGTAAAGACAAGTAAAACGAAATTTTGAACTATAAAAAACGTAACGAAATAGGATCTGTGTTTTAACCAGATTGTATTTCTATTGAAAGACGTAAAGTGTTACCTGTTTGTTTGCGTCGACGTTTTTTAACAACTACAACAATAATGATGATGACGATGATGATGATAAACAAACCAGCCGCCCCACCAGCACCAATAAATACAGATATATCATCCTGTTTCCCGTTGTTAGGAGAATCTAAAAATTACAAGAGATGTCAACAAAACTGACTTAGGCCAGAAGAGTGAGGGAAGAAAATATTTCAGTTATCATACGGGGGCTTGTTAGGTATACGGAAATGTTCACCAGCAGCAAAGTCGTCGGTGAAAAAATAAATTCCGTTCAAGTTTAATAAATAGCAATATATAGAATATGTTATTTTTGATTTCCTGGGCTTTACGAGTCCAAATTGTAATCATCGAGATAAATCCAAGACTTAATCCCCTAAATATTGAAAAATTTCATAGAAGACTCTGATCTGTATCAAGGTCACAAGATTTAAAATTCCAAATATTATTTACGTAGATATAATTCTTGAAAACGTATTCGGAATTTGCGACCCGACAATTCTTAAATTCTCGACGTCCTACTAAACAACCCTAGCTTCACAAACCAACCCTTGCTTTTTACATCGTGTGATCAAACTTTGTTATGTCGGGCCATGGGTAGCTTACTCATGAAATATCAACAGGACTTCTGAGAGAATATCATGAACATACTTTTGTTGTGTATAATTATATAATTTACCCCAGAGACTGTGGAGCGTTTTCCATTCTCAGGAACCTTTTGTTCTTCTTTCATGGGCATTAATATTTATATGACCATTTTTTCTTCTGTAAATTAAGGGGCTGTTCAATACGATAAAATGGGAAGTGTTTTGTATATGACGAGTTACAGTTAAATAGTAGAATACAGTGTCAGTGCTCGGGGCCAGCTGCTTGATTGTATGCTTCCGAGTTCCAAGACTCAAGTATAGGGCCTACTACTCCTTCCAAGACTCAAGTATAGGGCCTAGTACTCTCAAGGCCCACGTATAGGGCCTAGTACTCCCAAGACTCAAGAACAGGGCCTAGTAATCTCAAGACTCAAGGACAGGGCCTACTACTCATGTATGTGAGTAGGGAAGACGTTTTAAATATGCAAAAAACAGATGAAATACACAAATTAAATAGGACATCTTGTACATTTCAAATGTCATAAAACTTAATTTAGTAGGGCATCCTGTACATTTCAAATTTTAAAAAAAAAATTATTTGATTTAATCCCCTCACCCCCCACCGTCCAACCTGAACTTGACACCCCTTTCTCCGTGCTACTAGATGAAATTAAAATGTTTAACCTGTAAGGGAAATTGTAGTATTTGCTGTATAAGAATAAGTCTGTCCATTTCTGCTATGACTTACGGTACAAACATAAACTCCTCTGTTTTTATATAACTGAGTTGGGATGTTGAGGTAGTAGATAGAATTATCTCCATTCTCCAGATAACCTTCGACCTCTCGTATCAATACGCCATCCAAGTAATGTTTCCATGGTGAAAATATGTAGTTATTCGGTCGACCATCTACTTTACATTGTAGAATTATTTTATTGTCAGTGACGTTATTCACGTGTAATGACATTGTTGTCGGATCTTAAATATAAAAAATATGAGCACGAGCAGGAGATTGTAGTTTGCCTCTATTATAAAAAGCATATTCGACATTAGAAAGACACGAGTTTCTTATAAGGGACAGAAGTTTCTCATCAAAGGTTTGTGGGGTGACGTTTCTATTGCGCAAATCTATGAGAACACATGAAATGTATTAAGAACACGTCCACTGCTATAAGACTATGTGCAGTACTATAAGACTATGTGCAATACTATAAGAACAAGTGCAATGCTATAAAAGCACATACATTGCTATAAGAACACAAGCTATTTCACACATATAAGAACACGTCCAATGATAGAACACACTGGCGTGCATACATTGGCGTGTACGTAAAAGATCTCCAGGCAGTTGTAATTCGATATAAGAGTAGGCCATGTCCCGAATTGACAGGATGGCCAGTCCAGAATATCCCGTATTGACAGGATGACCAGTCCGGAATGTCCCGAATTGTCAGGAGGTCCAGAGGGGAATGTCCCGAATTGTCAGGATGGTCTTTCCGGAATGTCCCGAATTGTCAGGATGGTCTTTCCGGAATGTCCCGAATTGCCAGGGTTGCAATCGAGTTAGGTTGAATTCAGTCCTGTCACAGTTCTGTTTGTACCAACAATACAATATTCGTCAAATCTCATATAAAAGTGTATAAATGAAAAGAGAATATTAAACTGTAAATCTCCTGGTATGTAAACTATATCCGGAGTAGGGTGGGTGGAGGCGAGTAACACAATAGATAGCTCCATTACTAAAATAACACATGAACTATCCATAATTATATCTGATATAATATTAACACGTAGACATGCAATTAAAACTTGTAAATTTCACATATCTATTTCCTAAACTTGACACACTGACGTCACTGATAGTTTAACATCCACGTTTACGTATGATAATATAGGACTAAGACTAGTAATTATTTCCCCTTATTTCATGATGGACGAATGTAGTTCTTCCTGCATTTTTGGGTTGACTTTTTGGTCTAGAATTGGAGAAAAGGGATCAAATTTGCAATTTCGTAGCAGTTTTGGGTAATACTGATGATATTACAACGGAGGGATAGGGGGTGTAAAGTGTCCTTCTGCAGAGCAAATATTGTGTCGGAAGTGAGATTTTCACCCCAGTCAACTTCAAATCGGCGTAGCAAAAAATCTAAACGGTCAACCTCCTACAAAATTATGATGAGGAGATTGCCAAATGTTGTCCCCATTGTGCCTATAAAGATTGGAACCAACGGAATGTTGAGAAAAAAGCTACAGCCTGTGATGTTACAGCCATTTAACATTGAAGTCAATGGGCAAATAATTGCTAGTCTGAGTCCTGATAACACCGATAGTTCCTCCACGCCATCATTAAATTCAATTAATGAACTTAACTTCGGGCCCATGCAGTGTGCTATTTGGGAAATTTTGTCCGGATAGCAGGGTGCCCTCCTATTGTTTTCGTGTTCTCTTAAACTCGATTGGAACAACTAGATGGGCGGGAGGTTTGGGGCTGAGGGGTTGGGTTTGGAAGTTGGGGGGGGGGGACGCTTAAAAATCGCAGGAACTTTATCACAAGGCTTTCACAAGAATCACGATACAACATTCTACAAGATTTTTGACTTATAATAATAGAGGTGTATTGTGAATACTAATAAGGCTTACCTAATACTTGCATCTTTATATAGGTTGATATTTCAACGCGTTTACTATTATTAGCTTTACAGTACAATGTTGATCCATTCATCTCCATGGTAACAGTTAAAGATGTCTCCAGGTAATCGCCTGTGGTACGTTTAAGTATATCAAAAGTATTTTTGATATAATACAAACGAATGTCTGGTGCTGGCGAGGCGTCATTATTGGGTTGACAGCCTATCAGTAAATTTGAACCATTTTGAATCTGTAGTGTGTTGTTGATAAGTTTATGGGTGTATGATGGAAAGCTGATAGACACGTCTGTAGCAGGTACTGAAAAACAATTAAAATAAATGTAACACTATCTTAGTGACGTTGGTGCTGGCGAGTCGTAAAACTTCACTGGTTAGAATTGGTAGTGTATTGATGGTATTTCGATGAGTTTTTAATGTAAAGCTGGTAGAGCTATGGTTGTAACATGTACTGAAAATTTATATGTATTCATTAATTTCTTATTGGTTTACATTCAAAACCCAGATATAGTGTTGTTTGCCTTCTCTCTCCCAAATAAACAACCCCATCCCTACCCCCCCCCCCCCTCAAAAAAAAAAGAAAACCAACAACAACAAAAAATAGGGGCATAGGGGCGTGGTCCAATTCCCTGGTTGTCCAACCTCGTGGGTTTTCTCCAGGTCTTCCTGTTTCGGCCCACTGCTATTGAAATTAAATTGAACCATGTGTTAGTCGAGTGACCGTTAAACCCCATTCCCCCACCCTCTCTCTCTCCCCCGATAGTCCAAGAATTATTGATACAATGAATACTCTAGTGACCCAGGTGAGAGATCATAAATATATTGGTTAGTGTTGTTATTATTATGGTTACCAGTGGTCATGGTTGTGGTTCTCGCTTTCATCTATATTACTATGGTTAATAACACATGACACAATTATATGGAATACAAGTTACTAAAAGAGTTTATTACAGCGACGTTTCGACGAGGGTCCTCCCGTCTGTATCAAGCAAAGAATGACCATCATAGTGCAATGAAGATATATATATACAAAATATGGAAGAAAGACAAACATCTATATACAATCAGAGATAATCATTTGGAAACCATCAAAGGGGTGGGAAGCCATAACGGTGGGTATAGTGAACTATGTACAAAGGAAACATATAATAAAGACAGCTAGATTGGTCGGTGACTATGCTTTCACAGAACGAACCATATAGAGAAGCCATATTGTGAAATAACATGAGATTATCCGGTACAAATCAATGAGGCATTTAAAAAAAAAGTTAAATGCATGGTTTTAAAAAAATTCGATATACATAAATTGTCTTTAAAAAATCCAGATTTATGAATATGTTTAAGAATTTTTTAAAAATAATTTAGAAACAAAGTGGACATTAAAAAAATATATATGAAAACTATAACATTTAAAGGATATACAAAAAAGTTGAGTGAAATTGTTAAGATAGACGTGTAAAGCATTGGGCGTTAAGAAATTAAATAAGTAAACATAATTAGGGTTGTTGTGACTATCATGTATATTACTATAGTTACCAATGGTTAGGGTAGGGGTTATATTTCTATCATCTATATTACTACACATAGAACATGACGTGTAAGCCTTTATTATCGACTTTCTACAGCATGTAATAAAGATGATATAAACGATAATATATTCATGATTTCCTCACTTTGACATAACCGGATTTATTAGATTGGTTAAACAGACCCATTGTTATATATTCAAATACCGGATCCATTTGTGCAATTAGACTTTACATCACAAAACATAACAATATAATACATGAAATACAGAACAGAAACCCCAGACATGGCTAGAAAGCGGCCATGTTCGATCCTCATTATGTGGTAAATCGTATGAAGGACTATTGGTATCAATATTCCCTATAAAGCCCCGCCCCACATACTGTAATAGTAAATTCAGATGAACCTGACTGTTGTGCTGTTATAATATATAACAGGTATTGTCTGAACCTGACTGTTGTGCTGTTATAATATATAACAGGTATTGTCTGAACCTGACTGTTGTGCTGTTATAATATATAACAGGTATTGTCTGAACCTGACTGTTGCGCTGTTATAATATATAACAGGTATTGTCTGAATAGAACCAAACTGACTGGTGTCAAATATAAAACCTTCATAATTAAGCTTATCACGTGATGTAAAAATGTTCGTTTCATGTGAAATCCCAAAAAGTTTTTTGAATTAAAATTGTATGATTTTGTTGAAGAAAACCAAGTGTGATGACGTCAATGACTAATTTGGTAAGTTGCGTAATTTCGCTTTTTGCGAGATATGCGAGAGGTGAAATGGCTCTGACTCTGTTGACATGCGCATTGCCTGTTTTGCCTAGTATATCCGGTTCGGGAATTAACTTAGTTTAAGCCATCAATCTATGACAGTTTCGATATTAATTAGTTACTTACTTCCGGTTTTTATTGTTAAAGTACCGCCATATTCTGGATTCTGTGTAATAGAATATCTAAAGTTATGACATTTCCAGCTAACACCATCTTCAGACGAATCAACAGATTTAATGGTAAGCTGATGTTGTTGACAGTTTAATTCATATCTGTCACGTTGAGAACCGTTATTATTGATCATTCCGCAAAAATCCCCATCTGCTGAAGGATTCGAACCAGATCTAGCTACCAATACTTCATTTCTATACCAATAATATCTAGTTCCTTCATTAGCTGCTATATGACAAGTTAAAACATATTTCTCGCCTTCAAATGCTATATCAGATCCTGTAAGTTCTGAGAAAAAAAAAACATGCACAAGATTATATACAAGCAAAATATAACTTGTTACTTCTTTATATGTAATATATATGAGAATTAAACACTACTTATATTAGAAAGGACATGTCAAACCAATATAAACCTACTAGAGCTAACGAATTCGGTGCTGTGAATAAAGGCAAAGAAATTGAATTGCTCTGGCCAAAATGGAGATTTTAGAGAAGGCGTTTCAAGGTGAAACATTACGTTAGGTACAGATTTTTATTCACAGCGACTAATAAACTGAGAATAAACCATATTCCTTGCAAAGTATGAAAAAGATTACTTCTTATATAAAGTAGCAAGCAACACGACAACAGTTGACACTGATACATAAGATTCGATCGTGGTCAAAGAAACTTGTGGTAATTTTAGAGATAGATTTCAAAGCACACATCCACTTCACTATTGGTCGGAAATCTGTTTAAATTTTAAACGTTTTCCTAATATGAAGCGGTATATTGTTGTGTTTGTTTCAGGGGGTGGGTCATAAATATGCCCCGCCCCCATTTTACAATTTGACTGATAGAAGAAAAAAGCATGGGATACATTATGTGTTTAAGAGTAGTTGAATGGCTAAGTATATTGATAGCTAAAGTAACAAGTCTAGCTGCAGTATTCTATACTTATTGTAATTTATCTATAACCTGTCAAGGTGAACCAACTAAAAGTGAATTAAAGTTATCTAATCGAGAAGTGACCAGAGAATTAACAAGTGACTTAGTGGCCTCTCTAGTTAGAAGTTTACGTATATTCCCGATATTAAAATAGCACAATTTACAAATATTATTTACTTGAGCTCCCATATGCATAAAACTATCAAAGATTGCGCCAATATTACGGGCAGAATAAGATATAAATTACCAATTACAACAGGGGAGTTATCATGTACAAATTTAATTAATTGATGTCTTGAGCCTAAACACAAATATTCATTCAATTTTAGAAAGTTCTTTGACATTCATTTTCTAATTTCATCTTCTATATAATTATTTGTGACTGTCGTTTGTCTGTCTGTCTGTCTGTTCGGGTTTGGCGGCTACACTAGGTCTGCCCCGTGTCTGAAATTTGGGGTATAGGGGTAGCTCGGACCGGGGAGTAACATAGGCCAGAAGGCGTTAGTCTACCACTTCCGGTTTCGGAGTTATGGCTCCCGAGCGAAACTGGTCTGTTCGGGGTTGGCGGCTACACTAGGTCTGCCCCGAGTATGAAATTTGGGGTATAGGGGTAGCTCGGACCGAGGAGTAACATAGGTCAGGTGGCGTTAGTCTGCCACTTCCGGTTTCGGAGTTATAACCCCCGAGCGAAGCCGGGTATCCTGCTAGTTAAGTAATATTTGATAAATTGAAAGAAGATGGACAATTAGGTGTAAACGGAATATATAGTTGAGTATCATCGACATACAAATTAAAGCCGAGACCATATGTTCTGACAATATCACCTAATGCTGACGCAACAAGGGTCAATAGAATACTTTGCTGGGAAAGTATCTTTAAACGGATAGTATTATATCTATACATAATAAATCTTATACAATTGATACCCCACTGTTCAAAATATTAAATATCATTGTTCCCTTATAAAGTTATATCAAAAACTCACAAACACAATGCCCCTCATACACATTAATCAGTTAGGAATACCATGTACGGGGCATACTATGCTTACATTACAAAGAACATCCCCAACCTACAACTACCAAAAACCAACCACCAAAGACAATGGGTTGATTTTACACTTCAACAGGCACAACACTAGACCAAATAATACATACCTACTTGACATTGAGACAACTTGAACATTGACATAAATATTATAAGATATAGACCATTAGCCATGATATACAAACTATTAAATGATTGTTATATTTCATGTATATTACTCATATTGTAATGTATATAACTCATATCCTTGTTCATGATATAGCAACAGGAAACAGGGAATAATTTAATTATCTCTAATAACAAAGTTGGTCTATCGTTATTTTGATACGCCCACATGTTAAGGGTTTCGCATTCTGTCGCGCTTTCGTACAAATTTGTACTGTCTAGTCCTTCGGATGAGACGGAAAACCGAGGTCCCGTGTATAAATTGGAATGCACGTAAAAAATCACCTGGCAGTTGGAATTCGACATAAGAGTAGGCGACAGTGCCGCTGCCCGGGCAATATTTCCTGTATTGCGTATGCCCGTCTTCATTAGCCCAGTATAGGAAAAGAACAGTAGGACGTTAAACTACATTTCATTTCATTTCATTTTACAGGCCATATTTCTTCTCACCTTTTCATCTACAAGTTGCCAGAAACTTTATCCTACAATTGGTAATGACAAGAATTGTTTGAGATCTTTTTTTAAACTTCGCTTGCGGGCAGGGGTCTTTGGCAACGAGAGGAAAACTTGGAGAAAACCCTCGAGGTTGGACTGGCGACCCTACTCCTATGACAGACCTTGTGATTTCACGCGAACGCGTTAACTATTCGACCATTCCTCTCTCGTAGTGTCATAGAAACCGTTTAATCGCGCAATACTGGCTTGGTTTATTCAGGTACTCAGTAAATGTAATCAGCTGAACTACAAGAAGACGAAATCTCGTGGTACGATAACACACCTTGTAAATAAAATGGGGTTTAACGTCCTATTTTGCGGGGTGTGGGGGGGGGGGGTTGTTGAATGTTAGCGAGTGCGTGCTGTATCATACGAGCTGTCATTATGTCAACTGGCGTGGTTTCGAATCCCCGGTTGTACGTGACAAGGAGTAGGGTCGCCTGTCCAACCCCGTGGGTTTTCTCCGGGTCCTCCGGTTTCCTCCCACTGCTAAAGACCCCCTACGCGCAAGCGTATTATTGAAATAAAATGACCTAGTTTGTGTCGAGTGGACGTTAAACCCCATTTCTCTCCCTTTCTCCATATTAATATCGTAATATTAAACACACTCAATTGATCATTTACTAAACACTTAACAACAGGAACGTAACTAGCTCAGAGCAACGAGAGGGGTGGGGGCGAGACGTGTTCTCAGGGAGTGCTGTAAAATTGACGGACAATGTTTATCTATTGTTTTTATGGTCGACAATTTTTTCACAAGGAATTCGCCTGCGCCCCCCCCCCCCCCCCCCCAGTTACAGGCCTGCTTATCAATTGGCAAATCCACAATTTCTGACATGGAGTGGGAGTTAAAGACATTCTGACATGGAGTGGGAGTTAAACACATTCTGACATGGAGTGGGAGTTAAAGACATTCTGACATGGAGTGGGAGTTAAAGACATTCTCCACACAGAGATTCATCTACTTCATACTTTGAGAATAAATCTCTTCCCTAAATGGCAGCCATTTCCAAAAATTACTATATTGTTTAATAATGCAGTTGTCTCAGTTTCACATCTGGCATACACACAGAGACTAAATAAACCCTTTTCAATTCCACTAAATGGAAGCAGAATGAATACATCTCAAAATTCTCGAAGAATACTTAGTGTTTTCGACTAAGTTCGTCGATGTAGGAATTAAAATGTCGGTAAACCAGCCCAGTGTCTGTTTTCAAGCGGAGTAAACTGTAGACAGGCAGCTTGAGTTTAGTATAATTTATAGGGGCAATATTGATGTTGACCATGACTGAGACACAACTATTAGTTTGGTTGGTAAGATTAGTTCCAGCAGTGGGAGTAGGGGTGGTTATATAACCTAATGTAATGTCTATTTTCTGTTTACTAAACACCCCCCTTCATAATATAATGTGTGTGTGTGGTGGTGGTGGTACGGTGGCTCAGTGAGTAAGAGGTTGACTTGCTAACCTGGATGTCCCGTTTTCAATCCCTGCGTGGGCCGAGAAGGTTCACCGGGATTTACCTACGTGCCTTCCCCTTGTCAGTGATGCAGGACAGAGGACCTGGCAAGAGACAACGTATATTCGTTCGGATGGGACGCAAACCCGAGGTTTGTTATGTACGTAAAAGATCCCTTGGCAGTTGAAATTCGATATAAGAGTAGGCCGTAGTGCTGATATCCGGACAAAATTTCCCACGTAGCAGACCGTATGGCGTATGCCCGTCTCCAGCCGCCTAGTCGGAACAGAGTAGTAGAACGTTAAGCCCAATTTCAGTTCTAATATAATATCTGTTTTATTAAACACCACAAATTGATGTAATTAAATGAAGTTGATTCTAATGTCTTCTTCGGTTTACGCAACAAAGAGTTTTATCTGTAATAATTATTTTGTGCTTCAACAGCTAGCGATTTGACCACTTCCTGCCGCCCGTGACGGAATCTGCGCCGTAAAGCACATTTTATTTCAAGTGTCTTAAGCAATATTTATTCATAAAATAACAAAATATAAGATAACAATAACAAAGGATATGATACAAAAACAAGCTAAAAGATTATATAAATTTCCTTCACATGACTCTTCATTTCCTGATTTTTTCAAGAATCTATATTTTACATAGTAATTTTGAAGGTAAGTACTTTATGACGAGGACAATACTTTCAATAAATAAATAATTATTAATATGATTAACTGGCCGTTCTTACCACTACATCAATTGCTTAATTTACATCAATGATTTGCTTGCATGTAGTGAATTACTATTAGTGTCATTAAGAATGTTAATATTTTAGTAAGACGTATTCCAGTCATTTCGGGGGGCGGGGGGTTGGATGGTTAGCACGTGCGCGTTATATCATAAGGTCTGTCATTGAGTCAACTAGCGTGACAACCCTCGTGGGTTTTCTCCGGGTCCTCCGGTTTCCTCCCACTGTTAAAGACCCCTAAGCGCAAGCGTATTTTTGAAATAAAATTAAAACCATATGTTAGTCCCGAAATGACCTAGTTTGTGTCGAGTAGACGTTAAACCCATCTCGCTCTCTCTCTCTCTCTCTCTCCCTCTCTCTCTCTCTCTCTCTCTCGTCATTTCGTGATAGATGAAGAATATTATGATTAAGGGGAAAGAATGCTTCTGATTTGCCAACTTTATGGCTTTATGTGAATTATACATTATTTAATATCATATGAAATACAAACAACAATAATTTAAAACTATTAAATCAACAAGATATACTTTAATTGAAATGAAATCGACAATGAGTGAAATGTTCAAACTCCTATTGTGCCTGTTTCACAATAACCACCCGTCTGAAATCGAAACAGGTAGTGTTTATCTCATTCTGGGGTAATAATACTTAATAAAACAATTCTATATGAAATAAAATCAGTAATTGAAAATGTTTAAAACCTGATATAGCAAAATATAAAATATCATGTAATAATAGCTAATATAATATATGTATAGCACAAATATCATATACTAAAAGCTAAAATATCATATTGTAAAAGCTAAAATACCATATACTAAAACCTAACATATCATATACAAAAAGCTAAAATATCATATACTAAAAGCTAACATGAGATATTTTATACAGACAATGTCTCATCAATTTCCGAAATAAATTGCATTTGTATATATATATATGTATAGGTACATTGCTTTACATAACGCATCATGACTTCGTTTAAAACATTCTAAGTATGTGCAGTATCATAATCAGCACTAATATACAAATGATTCTCCATTATTTCCATTTCTGGTTTCGTGTCGTCTTCACTCCGTTTCCATCAGCCTGATTCTGTGAAGCATCATAATCAGCGCTTATATATAGATGATTCTCCATTATTTCCATCTCTTGTTTCGAGGAACCATCTTTAGTAAATTAAACAAAATGATCTTGATTAAAACATAATCTAAACAAGTCAACACAACAACTATGATTATATCTATATCAAAAAACACTTGAACTCATCGGATAATCTTGCCAGGGCAGCGACAGAATATTACTTTTTAGTCCAAATATATTTGCCAGCATCACAGGTGTAACTTGACAGTGATAACTGGGAAATTATCATTCCTAACCCGTTTATCATTAGCATTTGGGTTCTGACAAGTTGTAAAATAAGTACTGTTGCTATGGTAATCAACGATCTACGCTATATCTTCAAACAGCCATAACTTCGCTCAGAATAAAGTAATCTTAATCAAATCTTTTTCAATATCTATTTTTGATAATCTTTAAGTGGCATTTATCGATTGGGAAACACATTAACAGAACGCAGTTTTATGGGAAACAATCACTGGTTTATTGTAAAAGCACGAACTATTTTTGAACTACTATAGCAAGAAAGGCCAGTTCTTTATCTAAATCTTACATGGGACTGGAACGTTTCGACAAGAACACGATGATCATCGTCCCAAGTATATGAAATGAAGTAAAATGACGGACATACGCCAGGCAGTGTGCTATGAGAGAAATTGACTTTTGTACATAGCTCTGAAGACACCATAAGGCCGAAAGATCTTGGCAAATATGTAAATGTAATTAGAATATAGATTTTTCCATCCAAAGTCATAATGATGTCTATATATATATATATATATATATATATATATATGTGTGCAACTGACTAGTGTCTGTTAAAATGAAGTAGCGGAATTCTTCCAATCTTGTGTTTATATTATGTTTACAAATTACTATAAACATAAATAACCATTACTATGGTTACCATTCTATCCCATAGACTGTCCCAATCAGTTGTATAGTACACATGTAGAGTATGCTCCTTTCCCAGTACACAACATAGGCGAATTTCTATATAAATAATTCCCATTTCTATGTGTTCAATTATAGACCGACGATTTTATTTCTATTACAAAATCTTACCTTTTGGTTTACGTCGACGTTTTTTAACAACTAATACAATAACGATGATGACGATGATGATAATCAAATGAGCCGCTACACCAGCACCAATAAATACAGATATATTATCCTGTTTCCCGTTGTTAGGAGAATCTGAAAATTACAAGACAGAGAAATTTGTTCCAAGGTTCACTCGACACATACTAGGTCATTTCAGGACTAACATATGATTCAATTTAATTTCAATTATTCGCTTGCAAGTAGTGGTCTTTAGCAATAGGTGGGGGGGGGGCGGAGGACCCAGAGAAATCCCAACACCTTGTCACGTACAACCGGTGAATTGAAAGACCTTATGACCCCCCCCCCCTATTATTTGTTTAGCTTGATTACAATGTGTATAACTATAACCAGGGTGATTTTTATATTCGTTTACTGGTTTTATATAGACGTAATGTTTTTTTTACAGATTGTCAGAGATCAAAACAATTCGACAATCTTATTTTTAAACCAAATCAATTTAGCTAAAGAGCTGGACATTCGTTCTATAACAGTTCAAAAATAGATAATGGAAAATGAATATATCGGTATAGGTAAACTTTTCAATTTAACACACATTGCCACAAGACAATTCACAACGGGAAATCAAATAAATTTGCCAAATCAAGGTAGTCTCGTAATTTTAAGTTTAGATGGAGTTTTAAAATTACCTTTATCCGCATCTTTAACCTGATCTTTATCTTCAACTAAAAGATGAAAGGATGAATTACTACAGTCGTCATGGTTACATATGAAACATTGATACCATCCTTCATCAGATACCTGTACAGGTGTAATTGTTATCAATGTTCGACTGTATGGTATTAACACAGTTTGGTTGTAGTCGTGAGGAATATTAACTTCTAATCTTCTAATACCAATACGACTGGATAGTTCTAGCCTAGTGTTGTCTTTAAACCACGTGATGTTACTGTTGCTTCCAGTGATAAATATTTTACTTATGTTATAATCGGATCCTGCTCTGACAGTCTCGTTCATTGTTTCAAGGTCATTTTTATAGAACTTGGATGGAGCTGAAACATAATAGGTCTCTACAACAAGAAGTGTTAGGCTATATATTTCTATATTTGACGCCTTTATAAACCTAACAAAACCCACAAGAACACTAAGTTAGGCCTTAAATAGAACTAAAAAAGTTAGGTAATTATGTTGTTAGAATTGTTTGTATTGACAACATATGCGAGAGTGAGAGATAGGTAATTTCGGGACTAACACATGGTTCAATTTTATTTCAATAATTTGCAGCGCTTAGGGGTCTTTAGCAGTGGGAGGAAACCGAAGGACCCGGAGAAAACCCACGAGGTTGGACATACGACCTTACTCCTTGTCACGTATAACCGGGGATTCGAAACCACGCAGGTTGACTCAATGACAGAACTTATGATACAGCGCGCATATGATATCATTACAACGTCAATAAGCAGCACAAAAGGTGTCATTTTTAACTTTTGTTGTCTGGATAACCATTCCTAAAATGTAATATTCTTATATATTATGAATATGTCCTGGATCACTATATTTTGTAAAGGCTAGATGGGGTTTACGTCTATTCGACACAAACTAGGTAATTTCGGGACTAACACATGGTTCACATGTATTTCAATAATTCGCTTGATTGTAGGTTAAGAAACCGGAGGAAAACCCACGGGATTGAACACACGATCCTACTCCCTGTCACGTGCAAGTGGAGAATCGAAACAACGCCCCCGCCCCTGATCGTCTAAAGAGAAGACTATGAAATTAAAATGTTTAACCTGTAACGGAAATCGTCGTAAAAGCTGTATAAGAATAAATCTGTCCATTTCTGCTATAACTTCCGGTACAAACATAAACTCCTCTGTTTTTATATAACTGAGTTGAGATGTTGAGGTAGTAGATAGAATTATCTCCATTCTCCAGATAACCTTCGACCTCTCGTATCAATACGCCATCCAAGTAATGTTTCCATGGTGAAAATATGTAGTTATTCGGTCGACCATCTACTTTACATTGTAGAATTATTTTATTGTCAGTGACGTTATTCACGTGTAATGACATTGTTGTCATTGTTGTCGGATCTTAAATAAAAACGAATAACAGAATAGCGTTGGTCCCTTGTACAATTGGAATACAACTCCTATCCGGGTAAAATTTCCTTCTTAGCACACAATCCGATCGATGTAGAACAGAGGGACGTTAAACCTCAATTCATTTGTGTATGTAATTAATTTTGATTGTCACTCAATCCATCTAATCGTTATTTGATATATTTTTATTCATATTGTGTCACACCAAGAATGTGTTCAGAATGTACATTAACCGTCATAAGCGAACTATAAAATAACTACCAAATTTAGTTTTGTTATTTATCGAGATTTACATAACACGGATGATAAATTGACAACACCTTAAATTAATTAATTTTTACAAGACAACAGTTAGGCTGATGTCCCCCGCTGAAATCACCTAATAAATAGATGACACATATTAATAAATTTTACATTTTTCTTTTTCAAAAGTATTGGGCAATCAAACTGATTATCTATACTCAGTCTAAGCATAACATGTTCACGGGCAACTCAGTCAAGGTTTTGAACTATCCGGTAACTATACACTAAGTTTTATCACTCTCTATCAGATAGAATCATCGATCAATGAAATTACTTAGCTCTACTTAGCTTTAGCGGGAAATATTAATCATTGAACTCAGTCAAGATATTCACCTAATGGACACCTAAATCAAGTTTAAACATTCTACCTAAATGTTATGTTCCAAAGTCTCGACCAATCAAATTGCTTATCGCTACTTAGTCTAAGCAGGGAATTCTTTTCATCGAACTTAGTCAAGGTATTGATATGATGAAACTGTACTCGGAGTTTCATCACTCAACCCAGTAAGAACCAAGTCGCAACCAATCACTGATTATCTCTGCTTAGCCATAGTGGAAAGTGCACATGATCGACGATTGGCAAGGCATGCACCTAATAGACACCTACGCCAAGTTTGAACAATCTACCTCAATTAGAAGGGGAGTTATTGCATCCAAACTCTCAACCAATCCGATTGAAGTATCTACTTTGTCTAAGCAGAAAATGCCCAGCATCGAACTTTGTTAAGGTATTGATACAATAAAACTATACACAAGTTTCACCACTATCACTCAATTAGAATCAAAGTTGTCGAGCTCCAAAGTCTTGACAACAAATCAAATTGCTTATCACTCTGCTTACCCTGGGCAGAAAATGCTCTGTATAGAACTTAGTCAAGGTATTGATGTAATGCGGGGAAAATAATTGTTATCAATCACTGAAAGTATTTAAAGTTCTTACCACTACATAATGAGTCATAATCATCACAGCAGTCTTTAAATCTTTTACAGCGTGTATTACATTGACATGATTTACTGCGATCTAATTTACTACCACATCTGCCTTGACATGATCCAACTACAATATCAAATTAAATTTATAAAATTAAATTGATGCCAGGACTTGATGATACAGACCAAGCACCCGCTTCAGTCACCAGCAACTTCAATATACTTCCTGAAACTTATTTAATTTTATCGACCATACGTGTTTATTACTGTGAGTCGTGTAGATAAGACCCTCAGTGCAATTCTTTCTGTAGGCAGCCCAAGCCCACCCATCTACCCAGTGCACTGGTTTACCCGTGTGTGTGTGTGTGTGGGGGGGGGGGGGATTGTCTATAACCCTGTTAAGACGGCCCTGGCATATACTACGTTACAGTGATGAATAAAATTCACATTACTTTCTACGGGTTTCACGAAGATATCCATGCACATCGGGGCCAAGATTGTATCGTAATTAACCGCCTAGCGTGCATCAACTTGAAAAATCAGCAATTATTAAACAAAATAGGTTTATCGGGGAATCAGAAGACGGACTGCACGTAAATAGACTGAGACAAAGCTCCCCAAAAACAGCTCGCCAGCAAGGTCACACTGATCAGCAGTGAATATTCGCTGGGCCGCTACAATCATTGAGTGGGATAATATTAGTGCGGCAAATTAAGTTCTAAAACATTTTTTTGAAGTTCTAGAAAAAATAAATAAAGGTATTTGAAGTATATCTGGATAAAAAAATATTTCCTGTTTAGTGTAAATGGGTATATAGAATGAGTAAAAGGCGCCATGAACGCAACAACGTCTTATGTAAACAATGCACCCGCCATAGAGCCAATGATGGACGTCACGTGATGTGACGTCATAGATACAAACTTACAAAGGTCACTTACCTAATACAGAAAAAAGCCTTTCACAATACCTTTGCGATATCACACAAGGTAGAAGGCGAAGTAAAACCATACGAACGAACCTCTGTGAAACAGACTGAACCAAGGCCGTGAGAATGAGTGAACCCGCCACTGGCGGTTTGAATAAAAAAAAAACGGTGTATCTCAGAAGAGCACCGTTACCAAAAAAAAATAAAAAAAATAATAAAAATAATAAAATAGGAAAAAATAAAAAAATAAAAAAAACCCCATTAGTGTAGATCTTGATAAACGAGCACAAGAAACTTACCTGATACTTGCATCTTTATATAGGTTGATCTTCGTTCAACGCGTTCATTATTATTAGCTTTACAGTACAATGTTGATCCATCCATCTCCATGGTAACAGTTAAAGATGTCTCCAGATAATGACCTGTTGTACGATTAAGTATATCAACATCATTTTTGCTATAATGCAAACTAATGTCTGGTGCTGGCGAGGCGTCATTATTGGCTTGACAACCTATCAGTAAAACTGAACCATTTTCAATCTGTAGTGTATTGTTGATAAGTTTACGGGTGTTTGATGTAAAGTTGATAGACAGGTCTGTAACAGGTACTGAAAATTAAAATCAACTAATATATATAATGACATTATTTATGAATAGTCCCAAGACGGACGAAAAGTACTTTAAAATGTTAAAATGTTATTAAACCAGTGTTGAAATCAGTTTGTATCGGCATACCTTTTTTTTTTTTTTTTTTTTATCTTTTCATCATTTACCGTGAAACAAATTTATTAGCAACTAAGCTGCACTACGGTAAATGATGAAAAGACAAAAAAAAGGTTAGCCGACACAAACTGATTTCAACACTGGTTTAATAACATTTTAACATTTTAAAGTACTTTTCGTCCGTCTTGGAACTATTCATAAATAATGTCATTGATATATATATATATATATATATGCCCCATTGTATTTGTTAGTATATGAAAACAATATATATCTAAAACCCATTGATTAAAGCAAAGTATCCAGCGGTTCAAACTATAGGCGTACGAACAGGTGGGGGGGGGGGATTTGGAACTTTTACTGACCATTGTGTGGGTCGATGTTTTACTGACCATTGTGTGGGCCGATGTTTTAATAAGATGTCTACTTCTCAAACTCAAAATGCAGTTCAAGAAAATTCGCTCGTTTTTTTTTGGATATTTTACTGGTTATTTTGTGGTTATTTCAGGCCTGTTTCATATATTGAAGTGGTTAAACAAATGGGCTGTTAAATGAAGTCCTCTGACGTTAATGCGATGTCCCTGTCACCATTTATCTCGAGGCGTTAAAAAAATATACGTTACGATAAGACATTACACGGAGTTCCTAGGCTTAGAGGCTAGGGCGAAGACATCATTGGGGGTTCCCTAGGAAGACATCATCCGGCGCTCCTAGCTGTACGACTAGCCAACATGCGCTAAGGGATATAATGCGGACAGGATATAGTGTCACATTTTTTCGTGCAAAAATAAAGGAAATTCAATCTTGTATATTCCACGGTAACCAAATACTACTACTACCATCGATGAGGTAGGTAAGTGAAACCGAACCGTGCTCTGGATGAAACGTGGACTGTGTTGTTCTCACAGTGGTCATCAAATGAAAGTGAGATGCGATTCTAATTCCCACAGTTCTACACCAACCGGGCTCATGGAGACGGGTTGACAAACAACCCTTCATATACCAAGGTAAGTAAATCAAATAATACATACCGTCAGTACATTGACAAACAACCCTTTATACCAAGTAAAGCAAATAATACATACCTATTTGACATTGAGACAATTTGAAAATTGACACAAATATTATAACATATAGACGCCTGGCCATGATGTATGAACTATTAAATGATTATATTATAGTTTATACAACTTCCATCCTGGTACATGATATATATATTTATATTTATATATATATATATATATATATATATAGACGACTGTCCATCGAGATATTATAATTCATATCCTTATTCACGATACAGGAAACAGACACGTCACGTTCAGACAAATTATATCACTGGAAAATAAATACAGGTTTCCCCCCACTGCTAAATACCCCTACGTGCAAGCGAATTATTGAAATAATATTGAACCATGTGTTAGTCCCGAAATGACCTAGTTTGTGTCGAGTGGACGTTAAACCCCATTTCTCTCTCCCACTATAAAAGAGAGTGGGGGAGGGGGTAGTATTCGGCAGAACTCACACCGTCTGTCATATCTGCTATATACTTATTTGAGAACGAGGAAGATTTGTGACTAACGCTAAGCGATTAACAATCTGATTAAAACACAGATCCTATTTCGTTTCATTTTTTTATAGTTCAAAATTACTTGTCTTTACTACACTAGTGTTCGGAACCGTGTGTTCGCATTCACGGTGGACTGTATGTTTTTAAGGGTCTAAGGGAACTAACTCTGTGGGTTTAGTGACGTGTAAAAAAATGCCATGTGGGAGAATTTGTCTTTTAGATTGAACCATCGAACTGAAATATTTATATTGTACATCGTTTAAATGTTCGTGAAACTCTGCAATAAACATCGTCTCGAACATTTTTGGTAGCAGAGCGTAGTTGTACGGCCTGTTATACATCGTAGAATTCGTCAAAGTCAAGTAAGTGTTCAAACAAGTCGATGAAGAAAAATGTCGGAATCGGAAACGAGGCCCGGTGTCACTAACAGAGAAACAGTCATCGATCAAGCCAGCCAAGAAGGTGAGACGAGTAATCAAAATGGATGTGAGTTAAGACTTAAAAAGTTGTTAAAAAAGAAAAGAAATTTAAAGGCCCAGCTGACTAGGTCGCGTATTAACCTAACTGCTTTATTTTCGTGTAAAGACGATATAAACAAACATGAACTTCGCAGTGCACTAAGTTACTTAGGGGATACTCGATTGAACGTTCCGGAATTAAATTCTCTCAATTCCGAAAATAGTGTCAATCGAGTGAAAAGCAGTATTTCGGAGTACAACGCATGTGCCGACTGCATTAAAAATATCTCAACCAATCATGGCAGCTAAAACATATGTGTTACTTAAAATACGTCACGATTCTACTCACACCACCTCGGCTGTCGGGACTGGCAGAACTGTGACAGGACTGAATTCCTTATCACTTGATTGCAATTCTGTCAATTCGGGACGTTCCGGACTGAGAATCGAGTACCCCTTATTGTCATGTCAAGAACAGGTAATGGACGTCTTAGAATCCTTGTGTGATATCGATTCAGATAAATATGAAACCGAATTAGATCAAATTAGTGAATATTTATCGTTGTTGAAAGTAAACAATCGCAATGAAGGGCCCAGTCCGGTAGAATTAGGTCAAAGGGAGACAACTCCAAATAGTCAATCTACTCCTCCAATTACAGAAATCGACCAGAACAACGTTTCAAATTCCCTTAATCCTTCGGTAAATCCACCAAAATATGAAATCGAAAGAGATATGCACCATCAATTACAAAGAGTCGCCATTCCCAAGTTCATGGGAAATAAAAAAGAATATCCTTTGTTCAAAGATACCTTCGACCAATGCATAGATAGGTTAAATTGCTCTGATGGTTATAAAATGTTGCAGTTACGCCAATATTTGGATGGAGAGGCTCTTAAGGCCATAGAGGGATTTCCTGCGACTACTTTGGGATATACTTCAGCAAAAAGAAGATTAGATGAAAAATATGGTGGTAAAAGGCGAATGGTTTTATTACATCTTGATGCAGTTAGACAAATGAAGCCAATCTTGTTCAATGATTTAAAGAGTGTCGAACAATTTACAGATATTTTGGAACTTTAGATAATATCGCTTAAAGAGGCAGGTCGTACGAAGGAATTTGAAGAAAATTCCATGTTTTATAGTGTAGCCAAATCAAAGTTATCTCCAGTTAACATAGCACACTTCAAGAGATGGTCAGCGTCAGAAAAGAAAGAAGAGAATTTAGTTACTTTACATTTATGGTTATCGTCAGAAGTGAGATATCGTATTGAACCCCAAGAAGAAGCAGAAGGTTTCTGTTCCCCAAAAGCACCTTCGCATAATAAAAGTAGATTTGATCCACCAGACCGAAGATTTCGAACATTCGCTACAAATAATACAAATTCGAGTTTTAATTTAAAGTGTCCTTTATGAGGAGAATATCATTGAATCGCAGATTGTTCTAAATTTAAATCAGTATCTGTATATCAGAGATGGAGAATTGCTAAGGACAATAATTTATGTTTTCGCTGCCTAAGTTTATCTCATCATGGTAAGAATTGCAGACATGTTCAACAGTGTGGTATAGATGGTTGCCCGCGAACCCATCATCAGCATGGCGGGGGATACTATCACCTAGAACGAAATGAGCCGAATACAAGTGGTGCACGTAGTAATGATCGCAGCTTACCTGATCCTAGAAGTCAAAATGAATCTTGTCATAACAGTCGAACTCATGCAAATATGAACAGTGATTGTGATAGAGTAGCCATGAGGATATTACCTGTAATCGTACGGAACAGAAATCGTACTATTCAAGCAAACGCTTTATTAGATGAGTGTTCTACGGACTCTTACATTAATCAGAACTTAGCCTCAGAATTGGGTCTTAGTGGATCTTGTGCCAACCTTAACGTATCCGTCCTTGGAAGAAAAAAAAATAGAATCAATAAAGTAAAACCAAGTACGAACAATCCAAACCATTAAGACAAAATTCGAAGTCCTAAAAAACGGTATAGGCAAAATAGTGTAATAAGGCAAAATAGTGTAATCAGCATATGGACTGTTCACCGTGTACAAAATACACGACAAACAGTGGTAACAGGTGTACGGAAGAGTAAGCTTACCCTGCCTGGCGCCACACCCGCCATAGCTGAATCCAAACTATAAGGCAAAATCTCGGTAAAATAGCGTGATTGGCCAAAAGACTATCGGTATGCAAAATGCACGTGATGAACAGTGTTAACGATGTAGTAGACAGACATAATCAGGGAGATTGTATACGCGTCAATTAAATATATCTAGAATAATAGCCGAGAGAGACATGTTATATTTACCAATCAAGTCAATATGACGCACATAAAACTTTTTAAAGGTTTTAATAAGTTTAGTTCGCAAGTATCCCTGTAGTTGAAGCTTAGATGACAAATGCCTCGATCTACATAAAAAATCAGAATAAAATGAACAAGCTCTCGCGTAACGAATTAGTTGAGACACAAACACTCCATAAGCTGGTGATATTGGAATGTTACTACTAATAAATGGAAAGTTAACAATCGGAAAGTCAAAGTCATCACGTTTATCGTACAATTTAACACTAAGTTTATGGCAATTGTCAAAATCGAGACGCAGATCCAAGTAGGAAGCGTAATTGTCACTGTCAGTAGTGTTTTTAATTTCGAGCTCATCAGGATATATGAATTCTACATAATCACTAAATTTTGGATTATTCACTGATAGAACATCATCGATATATCGATAAGTGAAATGTATTCGTTAATTTATTTAGCCTCGATGGTAGAACTCACATCAACCTTGATGCATTTACGGTGAAGAATGTCACAGGTGATCTTAATATCGTCGATTGGAATAAACACGCTTATAATTGGCCGCATTTATCTGGCATTGAATTTCCTAGGGTAGGCCAGAGAGTGCATATTGATATTTTAATGGGGCTAAATGTTCCAGAATTACATCGTTCGTTAACAGAAATTAGTGGTCGATCCGGCGATCCTATAGCTCGCCTTACTCCGCTTGGTTGGACATGTATCGGACCGTTAAATCCAGTTGATAGAAGTACTCATAAATTTGTTCATTTCGCAAGTACCTTTTTCGTCGATCAAAATGATACTAATAGTTTATAACGTAAGATGTGGGAGATCGAATCTAGCGGTGTAAATTCCAAATCGCCATCCTTAACAATAGACGAAGCTAAATCATACAAGAAACTAAGTCATCTTTGAAATTTGATAATGATCGTTACCAGGTGGATATTCCATGGAAACCAAATGAACCTGATATCATAAATAATTATGAACTCGCCTATTCACGCTTAGTAACTTTAGAAAAGTCATTGGCCAGACGACCTTCCATAGCAGTAGAGTATCAGACAATAATTAAGGACCATAAGAAATAAGGGTATATTAAAGAGATTCGTCCACCTGAAAAAGAAGCTCCAGATATATGGTATCTGCCACATTATCCAGTCGTTCGTCTCGATAAGTCGACCACAAAGGTGCGTCTCGTAATGGGTGCCGCTGCGAAGTCACATGGTAAATCGATAAACGATTGCATACATCAAGGTCCTAAGCTTCAGAGAGAGTTAGTTGACGTGCTCCTTCGATTTCGTCATCGTTTAGTTGCTGTTGCTGCTGACATTAAAGAAATGTTTCTGCAGATAGAAATGACACCCGAAGACAGGAGATACCATCGGTTTTTATGGCGAGATCTTGACGATACAGTTCCAGTTAGGGAATACGAGTATCAGCGATTGGTTTTTGGTAACACATCGTCACCTTATTTATCTCAGGCAGTAATTCGTGAACACGCTGAAAAGCATAATAATAACTACCCGATTGGTTCAGATTCCGTTTTGAATTCGATGTACGTCGATGACTTACTAGACAGTTTTGATTCAGTAGCTGAAGCGACGCAGTTGAGACAAGAGATAACCGATCTTCTTCGAACAGCGGGATTTGAAATTCGTAAATGGCTTTCTAATGATCCAGAAGTATTATCTGAGGTACCAGTTACAGATCGTCTTCCATCTTTAAAGACGTTAGGCATTTTGTGGATAGCTGAGAAAGATTGTTTTTCGTTCGAAGTGGAAAAGCCGAATGGTGATGTACTAACCAAGTGATCCATCGTCAGTAAAACTGCTAAATTATTCGATCCTCTTAATCTGTTAGCGCCATTTACTGTGAGAGC